TTGGGGTTTGCAACGCGCATAGTACTGTATGGTGACATCATGTCAAGATCCTATTCAAGTCTCATCTCGTAGATAGTGAGACTGATGCTACGACCTTCTGACATGAAATAGGCGGTTTGTTATAATCAATAAAACATGTATTACCACATTCATAGTGAAAAAATGTAATACATCAAAAATGTACAGAAAATATAGTTATCGTATTCCGTCATATCGTGAGCAGCTATTTTGATCCACTTGGACATCCCGGTATCCTAGTTACCTGAGGCATGCGCATTTTTCTGAGTTGGAACGCTTTTGCGAGAGCGAGATTGAAACGGGATCTTTGAATTATGTCACCGTAGTTGCAAACCCCATGTAATGTACCTCTGCTTATACCTAATACATGTTTATGAAATTCAGCCATATTTATTTACTATTAGACTACAAATACTTACAATAACATATTGGTTGCTATGGGTAACTATGTCATTCAAAAAGTAAACAGGTGGTTGTATGTTAAAACCGAGTTGACCCCCTCCGCAAGGCAAGGTTGCCACAAACTCAATGGAGCAGTCTAAGCCAATGTTGGACATTCTCTCACTAACGAATGCAACTTTAGAGGACCTTGGTTAAGGTACTTGGGTACTTGTGTTTGACTGGGATTTGTTGATGCCAAGATAGCATTGCCATTTGTTGCTTACTTAGATGGTTATACATCCCTATCATAGGAAGTCCTTAACAAGCAATATTTTTTCTGAAGAAAGTTACACTATATGGACTATCAGCCATAAAAATGGTGAAAACAGAATGAACCTGTGTTCAAGTCTGTTTTGTTTTTAGATCACACATGTTTGGTCTAGAAAGATTTTACAGCACATAATGATTCTATAACCATAATTGTAAGATACATGTCCATATATGGAAGTTGCATGATCATAGGTCAAAGTAATATGACCATATATGGAAGTTATATGAGCATAAATGAAAGTTGCATGACCATATATGGAAGATGCATGACTATATATAGAAGTTATACATGTATGACCATATATGTAAAATATGTGATCATAATAAGAATAAACAGTTATATTTACTGACCTATACAAATATCTAGCTCTGACATGGCTTGGTAGAGTACTCCATGATTCAAATGCTTTTTTGGCTGAAGACACTGCTAACTCAACATCCTCATCTGTTCCTTGCACAGTAGATGTTAATTTTTCTCCTGTTGCTGGATTCTTGCTTTCATATGTTTTTCTTCCCTCAGGTTTTACCCAGCGGTTGTTGATGAAGTGACCCAGACTCCTGCCATGATTATCCAACCATGCCTGTGAACCAAATACATGCATTAATCATAATGTAACATATTTACACAAAACACAATCTGTACACATTATTTAATTTGAGTTGTGATCACCTATATACATGTACATCTAACAAAATGACTTTTCAAATCTTGTTAGCAGACAGTCTCTTGTCCTCAGGCTTTTGTAGTGCCTAACATACATTTACTTTGAGGACTATGTAATATAGCCATAGGACAACCCAATATAGCCATGGGACGACCCAATATAGCCATGGGACTACCCAATATAACCATTGGAGTACCCAATATAGCCATGGGACGACCCAATATAGCCATGGGACGACCCAATATAGCCATAGGACTACCCAATATAGTCATGGGACGACCCAATATAGCTATGGGACGACCCAATATAGCCATGGGACGACCCAATATAGCCATGGGACGACCCAATATAGCCATAGGACTACCCAATATAGCCATAGGACTACCCAATATAGCCATACGACTACCCAATATAGCCATAGGGACTACCTAATATATCTGTAGGACTACCTAATATAGCAATGGGACTACCCAATATAGCCATAGGACTACCTAATATATCCGTACGACTACCTAATATAGCAATGGGACTACCCAATATAGCCATAGGACTACCTAATATATCCGTAGGACTACCTAATATAGCAATGTGACTACCCAATATAGCCATGGACTACACAATATAGCCATGGGACTACCCAATTTAGTAATAGGACTACCCAACATAGCCATAGGACTACCTAACATAGCTTTGAGACTACCTAATATAGCCATGGGACTACCCAATATAGCCATAGGACTACCCAACATAGCCATAGGACTACCTAATATAGCAATGGGACTACCCAAC